CCTGGCTTGGGAAGTGCTTTGCTATGAAGGACCTAGGGGAAGCTGCCTATATCCTAGGGATAAGGATATTAAGAGAAAGGAGTAAAAGACTAACTGGACTTAGTCAGAGTACCTACGTGGATAAGGTGTTGAAAAGGTTCAACATGCAGAATTCCAAGAAAGGAGATTTACCGATCTAAAGCAACACCAAGCTGAGTAAGACTCAGACTCCGAGTACAGAGGCAGAGATAGCTGAGATGAGCCAATTACCGTATGCTTCCGCTGTTGGCTTGATCATGTATGCTATGACTTGTACCCGCCCTGATGTGGCCTTTGCTTTGAGCATGGTCAACAGGTATCAGGGGAACCCTGGTAAAGCTCATTGGACTGCAGTAAAGAACATTCTCTGGTACCTTGCGGAGGACTAAGGATTGGATCCTTACCCTTGGTGGGAGTGATGACTTGAGAGTATTAGGGTATAGTGATGCTAGTTTTCAGACTGATAGGGATAATTTTTGCTCTCAGTCGGGCTGGGTCTTTACCTTAAATGGAGGGACAATCTCTTGGAAGAGTTCCAAGCAGGAGACGGTGGCTGATTCGACTTGTGAATCAGAGTATATAGCAGCGAGTGAAGCAGCGAAGGAGGCGATATGGCTGAAGAACTTCATCGGAGACCTTGGAGTTGTGCCAGCTATTAAGGAGCCTATGGAAATTTTCTGTGACAAAAATAGTGCGGTTGCTTTAGCAAAAGAACCGAGAGATCATGGGAGATCCCGACACATTGAAAGAAAATATCACTTCATAAGACACAAGATAGAAGAAGGACTCCTCGTGGCAAAGAGGATATCGTCAGTTGAGAACCCTGCGGATCCCCTTACAAAGGGACTGACGAGGGCTAAGCCTTTTCAGCATGCGAGGCGCATCGGGCTGAGGGTCGATATTAGTTTTACAGATTAGATAGATTCTCTGAAACTTGTAAAATGTAATCGACATTTGATGATGAATAAAATTGTGATTTATGTATGAGTAAGGAGTTGCTATCATTGTCAATTATTTACAATTGTTTCAGCTTTGCATGTTTTGACTTCCAGAATAATTAATTTATTCAAACCTCCACAATCGGTCATACGTCGGAAGTAGGTATGAATCAAGATTGTCATGAATTGGGTTTGTAGATAGATAAAGGTGTTTAGACATGGCAATGGTTGCTACAAAGTTCATGAGTACTCATAAGTTATGAGTATTGGAATAAACCCACGCTCACTTGTATCACTTCACGGAATTTATCTCGAGTGATCGTGAGACGGTAATATCATATAAATCTTCAAACCTAGAGATATGAGTTGTTACCTATGAGTTGGTTGTGCATTGATTGCACGTAAACGCATCAGTAACTTGATGTTATAAAACATGCCTTTGTGTACAATTCAACAAGTAGTAGAACAAGTATATGAGTCGAACTTTATCTGTTCCTTCTAGAAATAGAAGCGATATCTGGACCCCTCGATGATTTTGTGTTGACCCATGTACCGGGACCGGTTAGAACTAAATTGATGTGTTTAGTCGAGTTCTTTGTCAAACAAATCGTAAATCGAGAAAAAACTGCCAGACAATAAGCAAGACATAGTTCCATGTGTTTATCCGGCTGATATCATGAGAACAGAGGATTGTATGATCACTTATCTTAAAATGGCGCTTCATAGTTCAACAGAGTTTTCGAGAGCTACGATTGCTGGTTGGTTCCTGGAGTAATAGGCAAATACAGTTATTAGACTTATCCATGTGGGAGTATGTTGGATTGTTGGGTTTTGAGCATCCTAACACTCCTATGGTGTACATGCAACCCTAAATACCTTGGATCTATGTTTTCTCTATTATACATGCAAATAAGAACATCCAAGGTATTATCCCAATCTAGCATACAAAACAATGACTATTGCAAGATAGAATACATACCTCTTGATGAAGCTTGATGTCTTCAAGCTTTAAGAGCTTAGCCCCAATAGTGTGGAAGCCTCAAATAGAATCACAAATCACCAAAACACCTTGGAAGACTTTAGATAATATGGATACTTGGTTCTCTCTAGTGAAATCGGCTAGCCCTTTTAGTGTACCACACTAGTGCCAATTTCACCAACCAAGGACATCTTTATATAGTGTGGAGGATTAGGGTTAAACCCTAATACCCATGACCTTTCATTTCCTAGGATCCATGGGTTAAACACTCCATGGACTATCCATGAAAGCTTAGCCCAACCTAAATGAACTTGGCCCATTCCATATATATATAAGAGTCCATATTTAATTAGTTCCTTTTGATCACTTAATTAATTATAAATTAATTCTTGATCAATACTAATTAAATAATATGATTCCATATATTAGAACTTATAATATATTATTATGTAATTATAAACTTACTATTCTCAAAAGATTATCCATATATAAATTGTGTCGGTGAAGTGCAAACCAAATGGACCATGCCGGGTCGGGTCAAGTACATACCAAATATAGTTATAGACTTAGACATTAATCCAACAGTCTCCCACTTGGATAAGTCTAAAACTATTATTGTGTATGACTTCAAACCTAACTGGCAATCGTAGCTCTTAAAGCCGCTGTCGAACTCTGATCTTGTCAACGAACTTGTCCATTAGATAAGGGATCATATATTCCTCCATTCTAGATATCATATGGACTGAGACATGGATTATAATCATTCTCTCTGTCCATTTGATGTTTCCCGATTTCCGATTTATGACGACTGACTAATTGAACAAATCAAATTAGTCCTGGCCCGGCCGAGCACTTCCATTTGTCATCATCAAATCATCGAGGGGCCCACAGATATTGCTTTTATCCCGAAGGTAAAAAGAAAGGATAAACTTCGACTCATATGGCTTGTTCTACTACTTGTTGAATCATACACAAAGGCACGTTTTATAGCACCGAGTTACCAAATGCGTTTTCGTGCAATCAATGTACAACCAACTCATAGTAACAACTCATATCTCTACGTTTGAAGAATATAAGATATTATCGTCTCATGATCACTCGTGATTAAAATCCATGAAGTGATTCCAATGAGCGCGGGTTGAATCCAATACTCAGAACTTATGAGCACTCATGAGTGTTGTAGCCCTTTGTCCAACACCTTAGACCTCTACAAGCCAACCCATGACAGTCTTAATTCATATCTACTTCCAACATATGACTGACTGTGGATGGTTTGAATAACTTAGTCATTCCGGAAGAATAACCTAGTTTATTCGGGAAGTCAAAACATGCAAAGTGAAACACAATAATAATTGAATCCAATATGGTATCAAAACCTATGAACATCAATAAAACACCTTTTATTTATCACCATATGATTACACATTATTCATTGTATACTGTTTTAACTATCAGCTTTATTCTTGAATTTAAAACAGTAGTTGTCCCATGCTCCAAGCATGTACACTATGTTTTCTAAACACTAGTCATGCCATACACCAAGTATGCATACTATGTTTGTCTATGATCTTTACTTTGTGAACTATATCAATTGAACATAACTTCAATGATTCTCTTTTCACACTCCCAAATCCTTACTGCAAATGCAAGAATTCCAAATTCATGCTATTTACTGAAATCTGTTAGATTCTAAAGTTATATGCATTAATCCTCTTGTAATGATTATGCACAAAGTCATAAAGACTTGATAAAAAACATTACAGAGTATTCCAACGGAGATCAACTCCTTGGAAACATCCTTCTTGCATTAAGTTTCCTTAATCTTACACATATTGAAAATTCTAACTTTGAAGCATTTCCAGATTCCATTTTGACTATCAATTCTGAACAAGAGTTGCCTCCTTACAGATTATGTCAATATGGTCCTTCCAGAATTATCACTATACTTCCAACTGTCCTTGAGCAACCAATCTTTGGTAAACCTTAGATTGTCCTCGACAATTGTTTAATCTTTTTAGTCATATCCAGTTCTAAACCTTTTCCCTTCTTAATGCCCCAGGCATTTGGAAAATTTTAGAAAGGATGAATATAGCACATGTAATCGATCCTATATCCGAAGCATATGGGACACGATTCATGATGTCTCGCATAAAGACTAAACCAGTCTTTTGCTATAATATTTCCATTTCTATTTGCCATGTTCTCATAATTCAGATTATGAAAAGGGATTCCGTAATCATAATCGAATTTTAGAACGCAAATAATGGACTCATATACAAAATTTCCTTATGTTGAGCCATTCCAACATGAAATTCATATATATATCCTTGACTAAATGATTAAAACCTCACGATCTAAGCTTATAGATTTGAGATGAAGTATAATTTCCTCTCCCTTAATTATAGCAAAACAACTCTTTCCCAATTGAAACCTTTTGTTTTCTATAATTAACATTGCTAACTTGCAATACTTATCATAATTATCATGCTCCCACTAACATGATGATTATTAGCATAACACTTATGCTCCCACTAGCTTTGACATGTACTCAGAAATTAACTGAACTACTAGAAATCAATACTTTATTAACTTTCTTTCCAAAGTTCAGATTTTTGATACTAGATTGCTTTGATAAAACTTTATCAAAATCATACACATCTCTTAGATAGCTCACATGTGTGTCTAAACAATCTTAGAACTACGAAAAGGGATGTCGTAATCATAATCTGAATTGTTTAGACCTTTGTCACTTCTCACAAGTCCAGGTTAGTGTGCCGGTAAACCAGATACGCTCCACTAACGACTTTGAGAATGCAAATATCACAATTGCTATCTAGCTAAAATCTACTTAGTGAAAGAGTTTCCTCACCATCATTTTCATGAATCGGAGAGAAACCTTATGAAACTTAGATTTATTGGTGTATGTGTTCTTATCCATGTGAATTGTCAAAACCATAGTCACAAGACAAGGATAATGACAAATCCAAACTCATATGGACTGAACTCAATCTTAATTTCTTGCCACCTGCACTACTAGAAAATAGCCCTTTAATGACGCGCAAACAATGACACTCGCTAATAGAGGATGCGCATTTGGGAGTGCCCTAAAAAATAATGTTAGTTTTGCAAAATTTGAAGGATAGATAACACACATTTGTGCGTGCCCTAAAATTAGTGTCTGAAAAGAAAAAAAGGAAATGCGGAGGGCGCCTTTCATAAAATGTACGTCGTCTGAATGTGTTGCTTTATAACATTTTAATGAAACACGCGTTTTTAACGCGGGATTTCACCCGCCTATTGAATCCCAAAAATTAAACCCCCCGCCTCTTCCAATGGTTGAAGATCTACGACTCCTCACACTCACATCGCCGATGATTTTAAGGCCTTTTGTCCCGATATCAAGGAAAAACTAGGGCTTGATGCTCCCGGCCTCACAAGGGCAAACCCAAGAACGAGGGCTTTTATATCGGCGTCTTCAGGAAGAACAAGGATATTCGCTCTTCCTCCTTCCAAATCGTCTAATTCTTCATCAGCTCTTGTTGAATACATGTCTTCCAAATCAAATCAGGAAGATGAGGACCTCGAGGTGAAGCGTTATCGGATTAAGGAAACGTATAGAACGAATGATAGGTTTTACCCCTGATCCCATTGCAATGAGTCAGCTTATGCAAAGTCCAGCTATTTCACAATTCATTCAGCGTCTCCTTTCAAACCCACAGAACACGAATCTGGTTTTTGGCTTCTTATTTTTTCATTGTCTTTAGATTTATTTTTTTGTTAGGGTTTACTTTGCTAACATGCTTGGTATAATTTCACAGACAGTTAATCCCTCATCTGTTATGTAGATTCAGGGCATGAATTATCCCTTAAGGTATACATGTTTTCACCATTTTGCTGTTAAAGAGACGAAAATACCCTTCTTATTGTAAAAGAATAAGCTAATAAATATTTTATGGAATGTTTCAAGAAGTACAAGATAAATTAGAAGCAGTGAAAATGGAACAACCACAAGGACAAGGAAATAATTTCTATTTTCTACCTCTTGCAGATGGACGACTTTGTATTGCCCCCATCTGAGTCAACTCGAATCTTGAAGGACAAGGAAATAATTTGGTCAGCTTAATTTTTAACTTTTTACTACTTTCTTCATACAAACATGTAACTAGTTCTTTAACAAGTGGACATATGTTTGTTTGTTACTTCAGTGTGAAAAGAAAAGAAATGGCTTTGGTTGAAGCAATACAGGGGGCAGATGCTGGTAATTTACTTGACTATCCAGAAGTCAACAGGAAAGAACCTGTACATAATGGCATATACTTCTGGAAAATGAAGAGTTTGATAAGGAAACTGGAGGATGCCAAAGTGAATCTGAGGATGCTAAAGATGAAAAGTTGGAAGATGAACCTTCACCTATACAAACAACTTCCAAGAAAATAAAAGCCTCTAAAACATCTAGGAGCTCAAAGTAAGTCATGCAATATAATGTACATTTCGTTTTTGTGTTATATTTATGATAAAGTTGACTTTCAATTTTATTCGTTTTTGTGTTACATGAGTTTGCTTTTGTGAAACATAGGAAGAAGAAACACCGAACAGTGATGGATGTTGTTGAAGATGAAGTTGTGACAGAGGAAAACAACATTAATAATGACAAATTTTGTCCCATGAAAATCATTAAACCACGCAAGAAGAAGGGAGTGCTGAAACAATCCTTGTAGAGGTTAAATCTCCTCCCAAGTTGAAGAGGTAATTCATAATATGTATATACATATATACATATAAGTTTTCTTGTTACTTTTTCTCTATTAAATTTGTTCTTGGGCTCTCTTTGGGTTTCATAGGAAGAAGAAACATAGGGTGATGAGTGGTGATGAAGGTGAAGTTAGAGATGAAATTTGCAACATTGATGATGAGAAAAGTAAAACCATTAGCAAGAAGAAGATTAAACCAAATGAGGAAGCTAACGTGGGAGATGCTGAAACAAGTGACAAAAAGGTTAAATCTTCTTGAAGAACAAAGAGGTAATTTGTAATCTTGATGCCATGTATGTGTATATAGACTAGTGTTACAATTATGTAGGAATAATTCTCCATCTGTCTAAATTATGTAGGAGTGAAGAATATCTAGAAGACAATGTCCAAGGAATTGAACAAGCCTCTACTACACCTGATGGGGATAAAAAGGTCTTTTCATGCTTAGTTAAACAAATACAGCATTTTTATCTGCTTGTTAAATGTTAATCATACAAAACCATAAATAACTTTTGGTATGAATCCTTAGGGCCCTAGTAGAAGTGCTAGAAGGAAAAAGGCTAAGAGACAATGGAAGCGAGAACTTACTAAAATTTCACAAAAGGTAAACAAATTATTTGTTCAAATTTATTTCTCAATAAACTGTTGATTTATTTCTTGCAATCTCCAATTACAGCCTGATATTGATACCCATCTAGAAGGGACAAATGACCACCCAAAGGGGCGCTTTAGTAATTTTACATTTGAACATATGTGGATATAAATAAACCATCCATTTATAAATGTATGTTTTCTCAATCAAGAAAGAGTCTAACATAAGAAGAAGAAGAAGAAGAAGAAGAAGAAGAAGAAGAAATTGTAATGTGAAAGAGAAACTCGAACCCTAATCAACCTCGCCATGCAATCGATTCACTCTTCAAAATTTTAAAGATACAAGAAGGAACAGAAGGCAATAGTTGGTTTTGCCCTAAATTTTTAGAATTTTACTCTTTATTGATATATTCGTGTTTCATTTTGTTTGTGTTACTGCAGACCCTAATCTGCGTTTCTTTTTTACATTTGGTTATTTGCAACACTTAGATGAACGTCCAACTCCTTGAAGACAATTCTATACAACATTCAATCGCACTTACAAGGAAGGTTAATTAGGGACTGTCTAAAGACAACTATGCTTGGTGGCATGCTTGTTTATCACAGGTTTCTCGCTTTCATATTTTATTGTTTACTATTAATTTTGATTTGTAAATTTTGTAGTTTGGAATCTGGATACTAAAATATATTTTATAATAATATATATTTTATTGTATTTCTATTTTGCAACATTATTAAAGATTTTTTTTTCAGATAATGATCATTTATTGGAAAAATTACATAATAGAAGAAAGATTAAGAAGATATCAGATATAGATCTATATCTGATATCTTCATAATCTTTCTTCTATTATGTAATTTTTCCAATAAATGATCATTATCTGGAAAAAAAAATCTTCCATATGATGCAGAGATGGATCTTGGTATCAGGAAGAAGGCGCTCATTCTCTTAGGGAATCTGTATCATCATACAGGGTTTCATTGGTAATTTTGATATTTCATTTTTCTGTTGGTCTAAAATAAAATTTCTTCAAGTTGTAATTTTGATTGTGTTCTGTGCAGATGCTTATCACATGTGTTTGTATTTTGGCTGTTGACAACATTGACGTATTTTTGAATTGAATAAGTTCCACCATTATTGTTTAACACCTTTCTGACAACTCATATTACCATTTTATCCTTTCAACTGACAACATCTTGGCAGCTACTGTTGTGGTCACTTCTACAGTCCAATCATCTCTAACACCTGAGAATATTATTTTCCATGTCATCACTGATAAGAAAACATACGTAGGCATGCACTCATGGTTTGCCTTAAACCCCATCTCACCTTCCATTATTGAAGTCAAAGGTGTTCATCAGTTTGACTGGTTGACCTAAGACAATGTTCCTGTTCTTGAAGCCGTTGAAAATCGTAATGGAATTCGTAATTACCATCATGGAAATCATATATCAGGCACCAATGTTTGTGATACTGTTAATCCAAGATCATTTGCCTTAAAATTACAAGCTAGAATGCCTAAATACATATCCTTGCTCAATCATCTTCGCATATATCTCCCAGAGGTAACCAGTAATTTGATTTTATTGTAAATTAAAAAAATGGTCCCTATGCCTCCTGTTTTGACCACGTTTAGTCCAAAATTAAATTTTTTTCAGTTTCGGTCCTTATCTCAAGTTTTCATATTGATTTTGGTCCTTATTTCAAGGTTTTAAGAACCAAAATCAATATGAGAGCTTGAAATATAAGGACTGAAGTTGAAAAAGTTGTCAAATTTAGACTAAACACTGTAAAATCAGAAAGCACATGGACCCTTTTTGCAACTTAAAGTTTATATATGCATCTGAAAGTTTAGATTTGAATGGTTATTTGAGACCTTTCCACATGTGATAAATTCTTCCCAAGTTTTCTATTTTAAGGTCAAATCTTTAACATAACTTTGTTCACCTCATCAACTTCGAATCTAAATCAATGCAGCAAAGAGGTAGGCTTAGTGAAAAAACTCATGGATGAGTCGGCAGCACCTTGCGATACCTCTAGCAAACTCAGGTATGTAGCTTTATTATTCCGAATAGCTCTTGTTTTTTAGTATTAGAAGATCACATGTCTTGATTTCATGCATAACAATAGAGAGATATTGCAACATCTTTAATAGAGCTATGTAGCATTATAATCCTTCAAATGTGATGGAAACATATGAGGTGCAGTGGATAAGCAAATAAAACTCTTAATCCCAATGATGTCTATAATCTTCCAGAAACTAAAACTCTTCATTGTTTGTACGATGCGTGATATATTTGCATCCCATGCTATATTATTTAGATGCTTTAACTTTCATTAATTGGTTTGAATGTTGGTGTTTAGTAATTAAACTCAATTTATTCCTCTTTTTATTAACAACTTTTATTTATTCATGATCTTCAGCTATCTTCAGCTTTTGGGCGGCTTGTAATTTCAAGTGATGGAGTCTGGGATGCTCTTTCCACTGAATCAGCTCTGGAATGCAGTTGCGGATTGGCTCCGGAATCAGCAACAACACAAATTGTCAAAGTACGGAAACAAAAAATGTCAAATTTGTAATAAAATATTAGGCAATGGATTCTATTTTTGTATGACATTAAATTTTATGAAATGGATTATATTTTTTGTATATGATATTTTATTTTCTATTATGATGCATTAAATGCAAATTTAATCTGAAAATTAGTAAATCTATAAAAAAAATTTATTTTTTTTAAACATTTAAAATTATGATACGCAAAAATGTGTGTCATCTTCATTTATGACATGGCCTTTCTTAACATGGGCTTTCTTGATACGCATTGCGTGTCATTAACACGCGCGTCGTAAGGTTACGACACGCGAATGCGTGTTGTCTTCCTTTATGACAGGGCCTTCCTTGATACGCATTGTGTGTCGTAAAGGCGCACCGTAATTGTGCGTCGTAATTGTGCGTCGTAAATGAGCGTCGTAAATGCGCGTCGTCTATAGACGACGCGCAAAAGCGCGTCGTCTCTCTTTATGACAGGGCCTTCCTTGCCGTGCATTTGCGCGTCGTCTGAGCCATTTACGACGCGCAATGAGCATCGTAAAAGGATGTTTTTCTAGTAGTGTTGGCAGCTCAAGGGCCTACCATTGCTTCCAAGTTGTTGTGAAACCAATTGAGAACTCTAAGAACTCATATGCAAAGCCAACTTTGATTGGAATGGGCACAGAATATGTCAACACGATAGGCTATAAACCTTAAGTCGTGTGCTAGTGAAGAACTTCAGGTTTTATTCTTGATTAGTTCTTGAGACTTTCAAGACCTTTAAGCCTCCCACTGTCCTCTTGACATATAAGACTCTCTTGTCAAATATTCAAGGGATAGTGAGGATTCTTTATCAAGACAAACGCTTCACATAGTTGGCTTAAGTTGGTCTTTGTTTTATCCAAAACATCACAACTTACCAACTTCAAATGAACAAGAGTAGGACACTTTTACTCTTACATTTGACACGTGTTTTAAACCTTCTTAAAGACATGTCACTCAAATTACAATCTTGGAGTATGACTCTAAGACTTGTATTGGAACGAACTATGACTCATCTTCTTGATTTAACCATTTCAAAAATTCAAGATCCCTTCTTCTTAGTCATAAGAATGCACTAAGACTTCCTTAGAGAACAAATTTTGATATGGTTTCTTAATCATTAAGATGATCACAAAACTGATACTAAAGTACTCTCCCATCTTTTCAGATGTGAGAAACTTTTATCCTTCTGCCTAATTTGATTCTTCTTATTCGCTCTGCCTTACATTGGAACCTTTTCCAATGTCTCACAATTACACTTAAGCTTGTAAGTATAACCATATTTACTGAACTTTAGTAAATTATGACGAATAATCTTATTGATCTTTTGTGGTGGACTTAATCAGTGCACATGACTATGTACTCAATCCCTTAGTCCATTACTTGACTCATACATCCATGTGAACAAGTAATTAGTCTTAATTTTTCCAATACTTGAAAGTTCTCATTCATCATGCTATACAACTTGCATGATTCCAAGTCCCGGTCCAATTGAGATTTTGGATGATGAGAATCTTTCCTTATTTGGTAAATTTAGACATTACCACAAATGAAGGAATCAATTTCAAATTTCCACTCTTGCTATTAATGGAATCATATAAGCAACAATTTTTCCTCAAATGCCATTGTAAGGATATTTTAAAATAAATAAAATCAAGAATTTTCTTTTATTTTAAAACTATGTGGAAAAACTTATCCTTACAATCCATATGAAAACTTGTTGTTATCTATTCCTAAGCAATATCTCATAACTCCTAAGAAGTAGCTCAAGAATCCGATCTTCAAACTATGCGATAGAAATCCATCTACGCGATCAGATTCAGCATATTCTTTCTTTAAGTTTCTTCACTTTTCTTTGATTCTTAAAACATCACCATGTGACCCAGTCACATCATGTATCAAGAATCTCAGAATAGAAACTTAACAGAGTTAGATAGTGGAATTTACCTGAAGTAGAGTCAAACTTATTGACTTTAACATCCTTAGGTAAATTTGGCAGCTTAGCAACCAATGCCCCCTCCTTTGGCAATATAAACATATGGACCCTTTTGATAATGGTACACGAGACTATCACAAACTTAGCTTTTCTCTTTACCATTTGGTCAACCGAGTTGACTATAGCCGATCCCTTTCCACTGGGAAGAGAGAGCTTTACTAGATATCCAATGTCATCATTGTCAATGTCCATGAAGTTTTAGGAAGCTGATCTTAGCAAGTAGAGAAGATCATTAAGGGTCCTGTCATAATCTGTTTCATAGATGTCCCAAAGGAACTCACTATGTGACTTAGAACGTGATTGAACCACCAACTTTCTCAAGACTTTGACACCCAACTCTCCCGGCTTGTCAATCTGTGACTACATCTCCAAGATGTGACCACACCTAGACCTTGCCTTGCCAATAGGGCTTGAGTGACCTTAAACTTTTCAAGAACTTGTGGGTTAGGGAGAATAATTGGAGGAGGAGAAAGAAGTATGATATCCATGGGACATCATCTTCATTAGGAAAGCTTATTTCAAGAGATTTGGGAAGATCATAAATGTCTAAACCAGACATGTTATGGGAGATATTCAAGATAGTTCATCTAAAGTCTTTAATATGACACCCAATATGAAATATTAAGGCTAGGACCCAACAAACTATTTTATAACTTAGAAGAGGGATTCCGTAATCCAAGCTATAAAATATTTGAAGGTAGGTGAATGACGATTCACCAATTTCCACCAAGATAAACAAAATGTATTATTAGGTTTTAATTGGATTTGAAACTCCTAGATCTTTGAGATTCATTGAACTGTTCAATGGCATGTTTCAATCTCGAGTGTGCCCTTCAGGTTTTGTGACTGGGATGCCGAGGATCACAAAACAAGGTGTGAAGTAACCATGCAAATTACTTGGTACCCTTAATAAATTACCCCTCAATCGATGTGCCGGTTAACCACACACGCTCCATCGATACTGTGATAAATATTAAGTCACCCTTTACCTACCTTGTTAAGTCCAAGTTAGTGTGCCGGTTAACCACGCACGCTCCACTAACGACTTAGACAAAGTGTAAAGTGTAATTTCATGGATTAGCACCTTATTCACATTTTCCTAAGTAACTAACATTGGGTATTATTAAGATTTTAGTTACTTAGTATTTATCATTAATACTTTTAATGAAGGGAGAATTATAGTCCTGTCAAACCCGTTCGGCTAACGACCCTTCACCAATCAAGCAAGCGGTGGGTGAGAGTGGACACTCATTAAGTTGCCATTTTATAGGCAACAACCTTATACCCACCTTATATACCGGCTTCGTGAATGAGGCGTACTAGCGGTAAGACCGAATTTACTCTTATACATATATATTATTAACTTATAATATTATAAAGTATAAGGGTTGAATTTTAACTTTTAAAATTCTAAGGGCTAACTTGGAATTAAAGTATTCATATGAGAAAACTTTACAAATTCCAAAACTTGAGGGCAAGTTTTGAAACTATTCAAAACTAATTAATTCCATAACTTATGTATTTAAAGTAGTTTTAATCCAAAAACTCTTCAAGTTCCATAACTTGAGGACAAGTTATGGAAGACTTTAAACTAATAAAAGAATTCATTTTTCTTTATTTTATAACTTATGGAATTAATTAAGGTTACATTATTTTTTTTTATTTAGTGAAGAGACTCTTGGTCCTCCATAACTTGAGGACAAATTATGGAGTCATAACTCCAATTAATTAGAACTAGACTCTTCATTTTTGTAACCTTTGCCAACTTTTATGAGTTTTATGAAACTTAAATGTGACTTTTCATATAACTTGAGGACAAGTTACAAAAACACATTTTAGAATCAACTCTTAGATTAATTTGGATTGAAAACAACTATTTCATTCAAATTTTCTATTAATCTAAGCAACTCATAAGAACAAGATAATTCAAATCAAACTTTTTCATGTAATTAGTCTAACCTTTAAACTAATACAAAACATGAATCTATTGACAATTATCTTTGAAATTGGATTAGCATGAACATTACCTCTTCAAAAAACAAGTTTATTAGTTCAAAACAACTTAGGGTAATGTTCCTAGTCCATTTCTAGCCAAAAACCTCGAAAATATGCTGCTGGGGGTCCAAATCGTCGAGTGCATGAACCAACTCGGTGAGTTGGATCGATTTGATCACTTTTTAGGCATGCACTCGCCGATTCCTTTGATGGACTCACCGAGTCTGATGATCAGACAACAACAATTTCGATTTTTTTAAGCAGTTTTGCAAAATTAATATGAAAACAAACCTGGCTCTGATACCACTATTGGGTTTTGAGCATCCTAACACTCCTATGGTGTACATGCAACCCTAAATACCTTGGATCTATATTTTCTCTATTATACATGAAAATAAGAACATCCAAGGTATTATCCTAATCTAGCATACAAAACAATGACTATTGCAAGATAGAATACATACCTCTTGATGAAGCTTGATGTCTTCAAGCTTTAAGAGCTTAGCCCCAATAGTGTGGAAGCCTCAAATGAAATCACAAATCACCAAAACACCTTGGAAGAATTTAGAGAATATGGATACTTGGTTCTCTCTAGTGAAATCGGCTAGCCTTTTTAGTGTACCACACTAGTGCCAATTTCACCAACCAAGGACATCTTTATATAGTGTGGAGGATTAGGGTTAAACCCTAATACCCATGACCTTTCATTTCCTAGGATCCATGGGTTAAACACTCCATGGACTATCCATGAAAGCTTAGCCCAACCTAAATGAACTTGGCCCATTCCATATATATAAGAGTCCATATTTAATTAGTTCCTTTTGATCACATAATTAATTATAAATTAATTCTTGATCAATACTAATTAAATAATATGATTCCATATATTAGAACTTCTAATATATTAATATGTAATCATAAACTTACTATTCTCAAAAGATTATCCATATATAAATTGTGTCGGTGAAGTGCAACCCAAGTGGACCATGCCGGGTCGGGTCAAGTACATACCAAATA